CTGCTGTTGGAAGTATCTTACTAAATTAAATCGGCCCTGAAGTGCAGATGCTTACCTTACCTTTAACTCCTTATGTGTTATCACAATACGAAATCTCTACTTTGTAAAAGTCTCTGTGTGAAGTATCTACAAAAACCCACACTAAGGGTCAAAATTTATCGGATCATTGTCTTTGCATTTTTTGGTTTAACAGTACAAAGAAAGGAACAGGAAAAGGTTTGGAAAAGCCACTGACTCTTCCCTAAACTTCTACTAGTAAAATAATGCTGTTATCTGTAAGCAAAATTAAAGCACTTGCAACCCTTGCATACCATAACCCTCAGAACACACCACTTCTGTAACCAACAAACTTGTCATCAGTGCAATTGGCCTTGCAGTCTAGTGCACATGTGCAATTCTTAACACAGAAGTCAGAACATTTTTGCTTACATGAACTTAAAGAGCAATTCTGACAGTTAATATTTTGCAAAGGAACATCTTTGTGGAAAAATGCGCTAGGAGGGTTTGTACTGTTTCAGTGCCTGATTAGGGGTGAAAACCCAACTCAGAATCAGGTACAGATGCTTAAGTAACTTTATTCTTGCAAACTTTAAGCCTATATGCCCTAGTTGCCAGGGTAGAGACAGACCACAATTCACTGGACAGTTCTGCTTTATGAAGATATAAAAGAAGTTTTGTTTCTGTGACACTATGGGTAGGAAAGAACACAGCTATTTTCTAGGTAATGCATGGGGAGGCAGCGCTAGAAATTTCTGTTTAATCCCTCAGCTCAGTTTCCAACAGCACCCCCCAATGGCATAGTGAGAAAGCAGCCAACAGAGGCACAAAAAAGATTTTGCCATCTACTCATCACATACTCTTTTTACTGCAGCAACTGCACCTCCTGGTCACTTCTGATCTAAGTTCCAAACCCAACAAGAACAGACTGAGAATCCCAGGATTCACCTTGTTCATTACTTCTATTGGATTCTTCACAATGATGTCTGTTGAATGTGGTCGCGCGATGCCCTTCAGGATGGTGTTCAACTCTGACGATTTATCGGCAGCTCTGTACTTGTCTCCATCACATGTTGCGCTTGGAACTTCACTGCTACTGGTCTTTGCATCAGCACTCGCAGGAGAGAAAAGGGATGGAGTTTGGTATCTTCCTTTGTTTGACTCCTGCGTATTTGTCCTTGTTGGTACCCACAAATCAATGTTGGGAATTGCACACTCCTCCTTGCTCGTTAATGCACACTCCTCCTTGCTTGTTGTCTCCTCCTCTGAACTGTCTGCTAAGTCTAGTTCTATGTCTTCACTGCTACTCTCTGAAGAGCTGGAACTCTCTTGCACGTGTCGGCGTTTTGCTGGCCTAGACCTTTTCTTCTCAGTCAAAAAAAGCACAGACAAGTTTTAGCCAGTGTTCACCCTTGACTTGCTAATCTCTCAAATCAGTAAGTTTAAAAGCTTTATGGGGCAGTATCCTATCAGTAAGGTGTGACTTCCAAATGGATAGTTCTGATTTACTTCTGCTAAGATTAATCTCAATTAAAGAGATGGGACTCTGACATAGCAGGATTTGGTACAATACCTTAGACCCAATCATGAGTTTCCACTTGCTTAGACATTGGGAGCCAGTCCGATGTGGCAATTCGGAAGCTATTTTACTCCAATGACCTAAAAAGGATGCAGAGTTGAGGGTACATGTTAATGCACCAACCTGAGCGACAGGCCTTTTCAGGGCAGAAAATTATACACATACATTTCCTTGCATAAGAGACAGAGTTACTATATGAATGGCTCTCAAAACCTTAATACCAATTTGTGTTCTTCGATCAGACTTTGCACTACTATACACTCAGTTAAAGTTAGAAACTACTAGAAAATGAACCAGTAATGAAGCCCCTAGCAGAACTACACACTCCCTTGCAGCAGTTAAGAGAGTGCTTAGAAGAAAGTTTAAACTGAATGCTGAAAAGCTTCTATTTGTTAAGGAAAGTTGTCTTAGAGAAAATAAGAGAGCTCTTTCACAGGCTGTTTAGAGGGGAGCTCACCCCTCTACACTGTCATAGCTCTGACACCTTGCTAACAGAGCTATCTTTACTACACAATCTCTCAATAACTGAGTTTCCAGGAATACAAGACACACAATATAAGAAAGGTTGCAATCATCACAACGAAGCAGAGCCTGCTGGTATCAGCTGCAGGGCTTCAAACTGAAGAGGAGAAAACTTAAGTGATAAATTCCTTAGTAATACTTACTTCCCTAAACCTCTAAAGATTAAGCCACAGAAACACTTACCCAGGCCATGCTTTTCAACCAGTTCGATTAGCTGCTCCTCTTCCTCTAAACTCCACTTGCCTTTCTTTACATCACAGTGCAATGCTTTTAAGTACCTTCAAAATGAAAACATTAAAGTAAGAATCCTGCTTGTACAGTTCTGATCATCACGGCATACTCTGAAGCTGAACAAAACCAGCATTCCTTATCAGATCTTTCCTTTTTTCTAAGGGGTCCCATCCCTACTCCCTTAATACAGCACAGCTACAATCTCGTTCTCAAAAATATCAGGCCACATGATTAAGAATTACAACAAGCAGCTGTAGAACAGGTCACTGAAATTAGGACATACTGTATTCTGAGTCTCCTGAAGTTGGGTCTAAGGCTGAAAATTGCTCAGCACCTCATTACTGGCATTCGGTTACAGCAAGTCACTGACTAGATCATTTTCAGAGATAAACAGACAACACGTGGGTGACAACCTTCCCTCCCTACGTGCACTCACTCAAGTTTAATGACCCCTTTATTTTGAACAACACCCTTCCCAACCTCTGCTAACCCACAGGCAACTATACTGAGGGAGTAGCACGCCACAGGCAACGATGCCCTGTTCTCTCTGCTAAACTCAATTTCAACTTTTTGACTTCTGTATAACTACAAATGCAGGGCTTATGTGGAGACAATGTTAGAGACTATGTTTAGACCATAAACACTTTTTACAAAACAGTCCGTAAGGTGCCACTGGCTTAAGCAACTCAAACATATTCGTAAAATAAGTAGCATCTTGGCTCTGTGTAATAAACTTGAAAGCGCAGTTGCTACATTCAGCGTACTTACCGATCTCTGCACTGAGCATCGCTCCTCCCTGGCACTTCTGTCCGAATTTTATACCAGTCACGCTCTCCGTACTTCTTAACTGCAGCCAACAGCATCTACGTTAATCAGACAAAGCAAGACCTGAAATTCTTATCAGTAATGATCCTAATATGCCTGAGACAGAAGCAGTTATATTTATTTCCACTGTGTTGTAAATCTCTGAACAGAAGCGTTTAGGAGCTTCTAAGCCCCCTTGACTTGTAAACCGCCCGTCTTGTCCATTTTACGTTCCTTGGTACTATTAAAGCTCAGATGTATATAGCCATACAACACCTCAACAGTCTAAGCTTCCCACTCTTTGCACCCTGAAATTCTAGGCATCAGAGAATGGAGCTTACAGCATCTTCCTCTGGTGTCCAGGGTCCTTTCTTCAAACTGGGGTCCACGCTCTTTGTCCATCGGTAAATCAGCTGAGCAGAATCTCTTCCTTCCATGTAATAAGCAACTAGAAATGCAAAAGTGCATTTCAAAGTCTGTTGCCAACTGTATTTCTTCCTGTATTTACATTGTAACTGCAGTATTTTCAAACAGTGGATCACCATAATAAGTATTTAAACCTCAGTTTAAATACTTCAACAATGGTACATGAGAAGAATTGAAAGAGCATATCCACAGAAAGTGTTACTATTTATAATGGCATTATCCATACTAGACACACGATGACCTGAGAATCCATCCTGCAACAACAGAGAACTAGAAAGGTTTCAGCTTCAATAAGTATCTGACAGGTTCAAGACACCAGGTGTTACACTCACATGCTTGGATTTAAGACCCCAAATACTTGGTTATATTCTCAACTCTACTCCTCTCTAGTCATACTGTCTCCATACTTCTGAGGAACAAAAGCAGCAGTGCTGACCCTCTAAGAAAAGGCTTCTGGGCACAGCACTGAAAAACAGCTGTCCCTAAATGAATACTGGCTTTCTTACGAAGAACTTGGATGATTTTGCTACAAAACCAAAGCTCACACAACCGTCAGCACTTGTTAATAACTCTCAGCCAGTTTCAACCAAATTTCAAAGCTGGATAAAGGTTCCAAGAGATACTAAGTTCTTGCTGATATAATGAAACTTCCAGGTAGGTACAGGAAAGGTGTATATCACTACTCCCACCAAAGAAAAAGGGGGAAAACTCAACCATCCTCTTTCATTCAGCTCACCCATAGGGAGGGTTTAGAAACCAGTGCATTTGTAGTTTCAGATGAGCCGCAGCACTATTTTGCCTTGTCTAGATCACAGGCTAGAAAAGTAAGGTGAAAACATAGACCTGTGACTATCTTGGAAACTGAAACATGAATAGGAAATAAACCTTCATTAATTCCTTGAATCAGAGCAGGCTGGGTACTTTAGTATGCAGAAATATTAACAGACATAAACCTGGGAGAATGAAAAAACCCAACCATTACAGGTAAATGGAAGACATTTTCACTCGTAGGTCACTTACTTTTCTTGTATGGGATATGACTTCCTACTCTCATCTCTTGAACAAGCTCTAAAAGCATCTGATCTTCACCCTTGGTCCATTCTTTCCTTTTCAAATCTTTGTTATAAACTTGATACTTCTGCAAGCACTGGAAAGGTGTCCTGTTTGTCTTAATACAATGAGAACAGAGCTACTCAGATAACTCGACATTTATGAGGATAAAAAGCAAAAGGGAAAGGCTAAAGTACCAAACTTTTTTGGTACTGTTCTCAAATGCTTCTCAGAAAAGCATTAATTAACAATGAATTAACATTAATGTAATTTTCTGAAAATTGACATGAGGCACAATTAAGTCAGAATTAAGACTTGCCACTTTTTGTTTCTTAGCTCAGAAGACCTTACCCCCAGCTCCTGGGCTATAGTCTGCCAGTCCAGATAACCGTGTTTAGCAGCTATCTTCTTTAGCCTCTCTATTTCCTCCTCAGTCCATTCCTTTTTATTGATGCTTGGATGCTCCCAATTTTGCCAAAATTTCCTCAGTTCTTCTGAACTACGTTGTCCATCAAACTAAAAAAAAAAAAACCCAACAAAAATCTGTTTTGTCTTGTAGCTGGGACTCAAACAACTGTACAGATAGGAACACCAATACATGAAATATATTTCGTATTTCAGATCTGTCCTATTGCTAAGTTTTCCAGAATGAAATCATCAAATTTAACCAATAAGATCAATTTTTCAGTGCTTCTGTGCTTGCCAAGCTGAGATCACATAACAGTCAACTTCTAGAAATGCATGATGGGAACAGTGGATGCAGACTAGACCAGATCAGGTAATTCTCCAGAGAAGGGACACAGATATCAGAAGTAATAAAAGAGCTGATCTCCCAACTTACGTGGATGTTTGAAATTTTCTCCCAGTCATGCTCATCAAATCTGTTTCCTAACAAGTCACTTTCTGGGAGTTGGCTAAAGCAGATGGTACAAAGAGAAAGAACAAACCACATTAAAGGGTTAATTAAACAGTCACTTTGTCTTCCTGATGTTGCTTCACCCTATTCCTCCCACCTGTTACCGACTTCCGCAAGAACTGAACACTTACTACCTCAAAGCATCAGTAACTTCGAAACTTTGCCCAAAACAATGTTTATTCTTGAAAAACAGTCCCCTACAAGTTGATGTTGGTTTAGCAGGAGAAACAATATATTGCTCCAGATGTGCTAATGAGCTAATGTTCAGAACCACTAAGCCCTCTGCTTCCTTGTTGTTAAATCAAGATCTATTTAAACCAGCACCTCTGTACTGGGTATAGATACTATATTTGCGTATCAAGACCCAAACCAAGATTCTTAGCAAAGAACTGTGGGGATGAGAGCTCTGCAGTTTGAGCAGCACTTTTTCACCAAGAACATAAAAAGAAGACTTCTCACTTAATTGCCTCTATTTCTTGCTCCACTTCTTTGATTTGCTTTTCCAAGGTCTGTTTCTCTGTTTCAGTCTTGACTTTCTCCAGTTTCTGATTCCAATAACTCATCCTGTTCAAAGACATTTTTATCATGACTTAATATGACTAGAAGGGAACGAGGTCAGCGGCATCAGAAGATGTGTATGGCAAAGACTGTTTCCCCAGCAGCACCATTCTTCCCTTCACGTTTATTCCCACAGTACACAAAACTGTTCTAGGTTTTCCCACACGGCACTCTCATTGTCCTACTTTTGCCCCTTCAGTGCACATCACTGACCCAGAACAGGTCTCGGATTAATCGTATTGGCATTTACAGAGAAAACCAACGATTGCTGCAACAGCAACAAAGACCATACCAGCTCCAGGCACAGAAATCTCTCACCAGACACACCGTTATGACTCGCTACGACACACAATTTCAGCTTCAAGCCCTGTAGACTGTTTTAAGTTATGCCACTGTGTCAATCGGAAGAAACAGCCGGCTATAAAATGCCACAAAACAAAAAAACCCCTCTCCACCTGCCAGATACCCAAAAACAATCACCAAGCATTTACAACCCAACCTGAAGCTGTAACCTCTTGCTTATGGTCAGAACATTGTAGTCCAAGACTGGTGCCCACAGGACAGGGGGAGTTTGAGGAGCACTGCTGTAATCCACAGACCAGCTCTCCCAGGCCCAACGGTGACAGACAAAGTATCTCTGCTGTGTTTAGTAACCTTACCAAACCGCAGCTAATGCAAGAACTTGCTGAAGGGAGGTGGAATCTCCACATAGATCCTCTCCTTCCTTCATATATAATGTTGTCATCAGGAGAAAGACTTCTGCACAGTACTTACTTCAGTAACTTTGGCTGAAGCAGGCGCTGCAAGCGGTCGCTTACTACTGATTTCTGCAATAACGTCTTCTCTCTGCTTTTCCCTAAACCAAACAAGGTAATCGAGCATTCAGACATTAGTGCAAAAACACTGCCAACAAAAAGAGAGATCCACTGCTTTCAATACCCCTGTTAAAGTATCCCCCAGTTCTTCAGTAAGAGTTCCCCACCTAAATCACTAATGTTATGTCTGACTTGGGCAAGTCGCAGCCTCTTGCTCAGTTTTAGTTCCAAAGAGACCTCAGTAAAGATCATCACCCAGGTGTTTGTAACCATCTAGAGCTGTAAGTGTCCCTCAAACGTCCCTCATCTGAGCATTACGCTTGCACAATCTCATTTGATTTTGCAGTGCTCACAGGAGTTGATGCATCAAAACAAATGCAAATGAAGGAAGGGAGTAGTTAATCACTCACTGAAACAATTTATAGAGCATCCCATTTACTTTTAACTACTTTTTTTGTGGAGTCCAGTATGAAATATCAGAAGCGTTGATATTTAACTGCAAATTGGAGGGGTGTGTGTGTGACAACACTAACATTATGAATATATACATTTGGTATAGCCCTTATAGAACACTGAACAGCACATAGAGTTACTTACATTTTGTCGAAAGCAGTTGTTCAAAAGATTTTATGCCCTGAGCTGCCTTTTCCTTGGCATCTTCATTGGAAGGAGGGCCCTAATGAAGATTAGAAGGGTTAGATACATTGGAAGAGTCAGATACACAGAAAAAATGCCCTTTCTTCTTATAACTCTAGCATGAACTGCTACAAAAGAGACTGGTAACTCAAACTCATGCAAACTGTCACATTCAAACTGCTAAGTTACCTTTCTTAGCACTAGCTCACAGATACATCAGAAGACATAAGAAAACAAATACAAATAGATGCTTCGAGCAAGTAAGTTTGTCCATGGGTACACAGCACATTCTCGGCTCAGAGCCAGGCCTGCTCGCATTAGCTGACAGCTGGATGAAGAAGCATTCTGAACATGGGGACACATATTACGCAAGTTTGTACCTACTTAATATGGATTACCAACTTGGGTAGGATTTGATAGAAAAATTACCAGTCGTTGCTTGAATATTATATTACTATACGTATAGTCACAGTTGATATATTAGCTACAACAAAAAGTCAAGATCTCCTTTTGCTAGCGACCCTTTAAAAACACATGAAAATGTAGTGACATTCGCCTCAGAAAATTCAAGTTTCAAAGACAATCAGATTTCAATGAGTACTTTAAACAACAGCATGGAATTGGATCATGGAGATGAAGACCAAAAAAATCAAAGTTAAGTTGAAAACTAGGACGTTCAAGTGCCCCGTGACTGGAACTCATTTTCAGATGTCACAGATGGACATGGGTTGAAGAAACATTTCCAAAAAAGGGTAATTAAGCAACAAGCAAAAAAAGGTTTCAAACTAAGGAGTGACATTCACAGTTACACAGCTGAAACATAACACAGTTACAATTTAAATCTAGCATTGAAAGACATACCAGTATGTAACCTAGTTGTATTTACTTACAATTCCTGTTGTTTTATCCTTAAAGTATGGCTTCATAAAATGACCCAAAAATACATTTGCTGGTAGATTTCTACCATCTCCTGCCTTTGCTATTTTTGGACCACCGAGCTCACACATGATCTCCTTCTGCAATACAAGAATTAAACAGTATCAGTATCTCCTTCAAATTCCTAATTTCAGAGCGCAGTGGCTGAGCTGAGCAATCACAAACATCCCAGGCAGGGTTCAAATTTGCAGCACCAGACTGTAAATCAGTGTATGTGTTAAAGACAGGATGTGGAACTTCCTAAGTTTGTATAGTACACTGCTGATGATAAAAAAAACCCACTAAACTTGCTACAACAAGCTAAAATATAAGATATATAATACCCTAGTGGTAGCATTTTTTGGTGATAAGAAAGCACGGCAGTCAAACAAGCCATTCAAAAGGCCAGTCAAGTGACATGAAGAAAATGAACCTGATTCCTGGCCAAGCAAGCAGAGCATTGCACCAGCATATGAATAAGGGACTGTGACTGCTGCAGCTGATTCCACTGGTACCTGTGATGGATTAGGAATGTCCTGGAAAGTTTTACTGGGCTTGATGGGCAGGGGAAGATGGCAAATGGCAAACCCAGAAAAGCACAGGAATGAACATTTCAATCCAGTTTCGCTCTACCTGCTGTTCTTTGTTTTGCGCAATGAGAAGCTCGACTTCCTCAATCTTTTCCTGGATAACTTCCTGGTACACATGGTTCATCTGCAGACATGTTTCTGGATCCTGTGGCAGACTACTTTCAATATCATCATCGCTACTGTCATCTTCTCTTTCCATTTCCTTGAAGCAAATAGGGCATTTAAGGGCAGGGGGTGAGAAAAAGGGGAAAAAAGGGAGAAAAATGCTTGCTTTAAAGCATGTATGTAACATAATTATTTCATAGAATCATAGAATGTTTTGGGTTGGAAGGGACCCCTCGAGGTCATCTAGTCCAACCCCCCTGCAGGAGCAGGGACACCGCTAACTAGATCAGGTTGCTCAGAGCCCCGTCCAACCTGGCCTTGAATGCTTCCAGGGATGTAACTCAATACTTCTATTACCTTACAAATCTGATTTTCAAAAGGATTGGTGGCACATAACTGTTTGTCTCTCTCTGGCAGTTGCTTTGAATGCTCCCAGAGGCAGCTACCAGCCTTACCTAGCTCCCTTTCCCCCTGCTCATTAGTTCAGCCTGCTGCTGTTTGAACCAAAGTCTGACTCCAAACCTTGCCAACACCTGGTCTTGTGCCATCAACTGCAAAACTATCAGTAAACTGCATAGTACTTTACACTGGAGCTCTCTTACCTGCCAATGTGTACTTCAGAACCACCCCTTCAAACTTCCACCTCATTTGTGCTTCTACTGAAGCAATTCTTCCCTTGCATGATTTATTACCACATGCTTCAGACACAAAGCAGGGCTGACTTTCATGAAAGTGCTCTGCACCTGGGTCCAATCTGCACCAGATTTGCCTTCACAAACTAGCTTCTCCTTTCCTGTGCTGTACAGCTGTCAAGATATTTCTCTGCTAAATGTTTTTATATGAAGTCTGAGAAAATATTACATTTAAATCAACACCAAAAGGTAAACAGATTTGTGAAAAGACTTAATTTTCCCCTCATATACAAAGCCTGTATTCTTCAGGTGCAAAGAAGTAACATGTTTCTTGATCACAAGCCGATGATTTCTTTCTCTCATGCAATTGCTCTGCGGCCTCCCCAGAAGCTGGTGTGTTTCCAGTGACAGAGGTCAGCACTCAATAGAGCAGCGAGGCCTCTGATCCCTGACATTTGTTTTCATACAAAGACATCTCGATTACATGTGAATAGTGAAAAACAAAGTCCTGGGCAGCAATAACTAAACCTCCAGGTCTATTATTAATCCTTCCTGAGCTATGGAGTCAAACAAGCTGCCTAGATTTCCCCAGAACAGAGTGTAATTCCCCTTCCTCCTGCTCTCTTCAGCAACCAAATGAAAGATGTGTTTAAAGAGAAAACGGTTACCATTTCAGCATGAGAATCCGAGTCATCATCTTCATCGTCATCTGTTAAGACAACAAAAATATAAAAACGCTGACTGCAGCAGGATAAAAAAAAAAAGGAAAGCCTCAAAACCAAAACCGTTTCAATTAAAGCATATAGAATAAAGCACCACATAGTGTCTCAGACATGACCATGAGAGTTTTTGGATACACCAATACTGTCAAGTAAAAATGGTATTTAGTTGTACTCCATATATGCCCTTTCTTGTCCTAGAGTAGGACAAAAAAGCAGCTCCGGATAACTACAGTAACAATCAACGTGCATCTTGGTCCTATGCTCACGGCAAATGACAGGCTCCAGAGTGTGCAGCCAGGTGAACACTCACAACCCAATAGAACCCATAAACTTTAAAAGCACTTAACAGCCCTTCCACACTCTTTAGCAATATTTGGTTTTGCACTCAGTGTGGCTACAGACTTCTGGCATACGTTATTCAGACTTGCATGATCAAAACACACGTGGATGAAGTGACTGTGACAGCCACCAGAGGTACAGATACCCGAACGATTACCACCCCCTCTTTACTTTGAAAAATTAATTTTAGGAGGCACAGGCAGGCTGCAAAATGGAGTGGCTCACACAGCGGAGTCTGAGTTATCTATTCAGATGGCGTGAAACGGCTGCGATTTAACTATTGGCAGTATTTGGTGGGCTGTTGGGTTTCATGAGTCAGCTCGTTACCACCTGCCCTGACTAGAAACCTCCATCAGGAGGCGTGATGGCGCTCTAAACCGGCCCTGCTAGCTTGCCATGGGTTTCAGCATGAAAATATGCAAAACACTGGTATAAGAGGCTTCTTCTGCAAGGACGCTTGCTAAGGAAAGCCTTGAGCAGACGCCTCGCCTCAGGTCCTCCGGAATTCCTTCCCAGCACCGTCTGTGCCCAACGCCTGGCAGAAATGGCGGGGTTAACACAAAAACGACGC